GTAATATGTCACATATACCCTCCACGACAGATACTACATTGGTAACACATCACATATACCCTACACGATAGATACTACAAGGATAGATATTACATTTCTTTTGAAAATTCAAGTATTACATAATAGATGTCACTCATTAGACATCGCCACACTGCTTACTGTTGATTGATAAGTTCAGATACTACATATCACTTATCTTAACATCACATATAGGTGCACTACACCTCGATAAGTTCAGATACTATCTCACATAGGTACTTTATATCTTTAATAAGATAAGTTCAGATACTATTTAGATTTACACATCTATTAAATGATAGGTTTTAGGGCTATCGGATTATAAGGGTGATTTGTTGGTGACCTCTAGTTGATATTGATAGGTTGACTTCGATATTTCAGTTGCCTGTGGGATCGAGATAAAAGAGAAAAGAAATCTAGTCTAAGTCTAACCCTGAATTAAAATCATATATTCCACCTTAAATTTTCATATGCTTATCATTTAACTTTTCTTTTATAATCTGCAAATGTTTATAAATGTTCTAATCCATTTATATTATGCAATTGTAATATATTTTGTAGTTTCGTCAGAATTAACCAGGTAAACTTTTAGTTGTTTCAGTTTCTTTACTTTTCCTATTACATAGTTCTTTCTTTACTGTACATTTCTTACTGTACCTTTCTGCATGTTCTTTGTACCTTTCTGCATGTTCTTTGTTACATAGGTTCTTTTCTTTTTTATTGCACTGTAGTATATACATTTGTCTGTATTTTTGCTTTTAGTTACTACTTTTTCAGCATGTTCATACAATCCCCTAAGATAGGTCGTTCAATGCATGTTTTTTTTTATTTTCTTCATCCATTTCTCGGAACGAGATAACGACGTGGTCGATAGACGATTCATCCCCGAGAGGCAGTCAAGACTACAACAAAAGGTGGAGACAGAAACCTCAACCGAGCTTCGATAGATTTAAATAACATACCTATAGGACGACGAGGTCATTCGTCTGGCACAATGTAAAACCTCATATACTATCTACGAGGTCGTTCGTCTGGCACAATGTAAAACCTCATATACTATCTTTTAGGACTTTCTACGATTTTATATCGTACGATATAAGTCCTAAAATTTTTAGGATTCCGGGGTCGTCGTCTGGTACAACATAAATCTTCATATTTCCTCGGGTCATTGACATATGAAATGTAGACACAAGTCCTGAATATCTACGAATATCTAAATAATTTGCAAGTCTAAAACATCAAATAATTTCTCTTTCAAATATATAAAGTCAAACCATAGGTTAGTTTGAGATGTCACTGAATTTTATTCAGTATCTTCGATATCTCTTACTCCTTTGGATTCTGAAAATAACTGTTCATATTTGAACTTATCTCACTTGACTTTTCCTATAAGCAATCGTGAAAACCGAAACGTTAAATTCTTGAAGACAAAACCTCTGATCATGATCGAGAGTTTTCTCAAATGACTCCGGTCATTTGAGAAGTAATTAACTATAGGGGCTTGCCTCTATAGGGAATTAAGAACTCATATTAATCTAAACCATATTTAATCTGTGTATTACATAAGGAAATTTGTCGACTATAAATTTCACAGACCAAAATAGAGTCATAAAATTTTAAGTTTAGATAGTTAAGTCTACCAATGAGTGATACGTTCATCCTTCGAGATGATATATCATTTATGGTATCGTGCTCAGCTATTTAAACTATTAGATATATGGGGGTATTTGGTCTCATCATTTTCCAAAAATTATAAAATAATATTATTTTCACAAAATTAAAATTACATTATATAATAGGGCGAATTGGTTTTAGAATTGTTAAAACTAATAGAAACAGTAGAACTTCTTTGGGAGTCGGACATCGTCAACTTGTACATCATCTGAGGAGAGAAAATTTCAATCGTCAACTTAAAATTGAGTAGAGAAGTTGATGGAGGCAGCTCCATTGGAGAAGAAATGGAAGGGGTTGAGACAAATTGAGTATATAATAGGCCTACTTTCAATTCAATTCAATTCAATTCTTCGGATCACAATACTTAGAAATTGAAGTCTTCTCTATAGAAACTAGATGAAAAACAAAAAGAACATGTTCTCTTTCTCTGGAATTACAAAATCCAATGGTGATGAAGACTAAGGAGAAACCAGCAGATAAGAAGCACGTCGAGAAGCCCATAGTTGAATAATAAAAAAAAGACGGAAGAGAAAGACAAGTAGAGGTGGCGAAGAAAGTCTATACTGAAACGAATCCCGTCATTGAGAGCTCAACCTGCGCAATTTTGACGCTAGAAAAAAGATAGAGGTCGGATCTTTGAATGTCGCGAACGGCCCATTTCCTTCCTAGCTGACTCCAAACGCGATTGTATCGCGAGGGGTTTGTCACGATCCACGCCTTGCCTTCTCAGCTGGTTCTAATCACCACCGTATTATAAGGATTCTACCGCGCTTCAGTCGTTCTTCCCGCAATCAAGTAGTTCTCTTCCCGATGAGCTTTAATGGTGACTATATCGTGATCTATTCAATGTCTTCCAACAATTGTATCATAAGAGGTTTGTTAGGATCCAATCGTTCTCTTCCCATAGAGCACAAATCACAATTGTATCGCACAATCGAGAGGGGAGGTGTACAGAATCTAAATAGGATTAGATCGTCACTTCGCATGCAAAAAGTGGACTCTAATACCATATAATTTTTTGGAGGAGAAAAAAATTATTTATCTACAATTTAATAGATAATGATTACAACATAAAATGAGGAGGATGGCTCCAATACTAGGAACATAATAAAACCAACCATAACTCTGCATTATAAGAATTCAAAAAATATATAAATAATGGCATATCAATAATACTAGATTCTAGAAATACAAAAAAACTAATAATAAAATATACTAAAACAAAAAATCCCTAAATTCCAACACAAATAATTGCTTCATTTGAAAGGCATCAAACCACTTTGATGTAGTGGTAAGGAAAGCAGGGTAAGTAGGTTACCTAAATCCTAGAGGTAATCATCCATGGATATCTTTATAAAATACTCCCAAAATATGTTGGATGAATATAAAATACATACCACGCAATTCTTTTGTATTTACATATCTAACACAAAATTTAATATTTGCATTCATCACACTCAAATCTTTAACATCACATCAAAAGAACTACTTTTACTAACATTTTAAAAGTCAAATGCAGTGTTTTATGCATAGGTTTATAATTCCAATATATTATAAATGCAACAATCAAACTTTAGGTGTTTGATAATGTACATCCATAAGAAATGTGTGGTTGGTATGTAAATTTTCCAATAAATAAAGAGCTAATTTTTCCAATTAGGGAAAAATTGATGTACTCTTCAGCGTTTATTCTTGCAAGTTATGTCAATGTGTGGCTTCTTCTGCGGGTCATACAGCAATAACTATAACGTTGACACTTAGCAGACATGGATTTTTTTCTGTTTTATAAGACGACATACAGCAAAGGTGGACCTTACAGCTCTTTCAGCTCCTCCAAGAATTCGCTAATGACATCTATGTGATTCCCAAGAGTCCTTCTTTCAACAGTTGCGTCTTTATGTTTATTTTATTCTTATCAGATGACTATATATACAAATAAAATCATTGAATACTAAGAAATTTATTTTTTCATTATTCTTTTGGGACTTAACTCTATTGATGAAGTAAAAGACTCGAAAGTATGAAGGAAGACATCTTCTCGAATGAGTATGAGGCATGCCACTTCTGATGAATTTCCTCATTTTCTTTCTCTCATTTTTAAGTCACTACTAAATTTTTACGTTATTGGTAGAAAGTGTGATTTAAATTTTATCATATTTAATTACCTTCTATTACAGGATCCCTAAATTTGTTGTTGTTAATTTCTCATAGAAGGTGAATGATCCTTCTCCAAAAAACATTATTGTTTTATGGATTTTCATTGAACATAGCGAGAAAATGTTTAGATTAATAAATTGCGTTGTAATATTTGTTTGTTGGTAGAATTATTTTTGACTTTACATGATAGATATGTGTAAACCCTAGATCCTAAGACATAAAACATCATTTAGCAATGAGAACATGGGAAGAACCATCAAGGATGAGAAAGTTCCATGGCCATCTCATCTCCTCGATTTATGATAAAATGCTTGCATATAGTGCATTTAAAATTTAACAGTTCTACAAGCTAGATCAAAGAAAAGTATAGTAAAATGACGCCATAGAATTGCATGGATATATGTTTGAATCATACAAGTAGCCAATTTTACTATATTCTGTCAAAAAATGATTTCTGGAATTTTCTTCATGCATTTCTTCATATTTGCTTATTTAAGAGATTGCTGGATTTCTGCAATTTTCACTGCATTTTGCCATTCTAGGTTTGTGCCCAAGGTTTTACAGAACCTTTAGTGCAGTTTTAGCTTTCGCGTACATTGATTGATCAAACTTTGGTGTCATGAGTTGGAAACTATTGTCAAAACACACGGAATAATTGAATAGCTAATGCAAATTTTGAAGAACGTGCAAAGTCAGAAACCTGTAAGATAGTCTTCAATGTCCAGGCCAAATTCTGAAGCATCCACTGCACATATAACTCAAAATTAGTGTTTGGTGGAGTGCAATCACCATATATGATGAGCACTAAGGCACCTCACCAGCAAGTATAAAAAAAAATTTAAAAATTGAAAAATTGCAGAAAATCTAACTAGGGTAGCAAAATAAGGCGTGATAGCCAAGGTGTCAGACGGAAAATATCACAGTAACTCAATAGATTTTGTGAAAAACATGGATATAAGAATGTTTACTAAGAGCTGACCAATATAAAAGGATAAAATCCATATATCATTATAGCGTGTGTGTGTGTGTGTGATTTTGGTTTTTGTGAGGGGTGGGATTGGTGGGCCACCAGTATACCAAACTAATCACTCAACTTATTCAAATAGAGCCCGCACGTGCAACGTAATGGTTGAAAATAAAGTGAAGAAGCCCGAAGTATTTCATTAGATTGCAACAGCTTCATGATACATCGATGGTATAGAAGGAGCTCAAGCTTGAAATCCCTAAAGATCTCATCAATTTGAAGGGTTGTGGATTTCCCGTAATCCTAATTCATTGAACACTCGTATGAATGACAAAATCTAAAGCCAATAACCAAAGTTTTTAATATTTCTTCTTTGTTCATGTATGGATTTGAGAGACAATAGGAATAATAAAGGATGCTAAACTTGAGATATTTAAAACAAGGCCCAAGTATGCTTTTTGTTTTAAGAAGTTGGTCCGGATTTAGGAACCTCATTAAAGTTGCCCCATCAAAGTGTAACTCCCAAGAAACGAAATCTTAGGCCACTATACTTGAGATGCGCTCACCAAACAGAATATCAATGAGTGGAGAATTCATAAAAATTAAATAGGCTACTAGGGAATCATCTAAAGCGTGTCTTTGATTGCCCGACAAGCAACAAAATTAATGTTGAACTAGAAATGGGTCATACACCAATGAACTAAATATCTTTATAATGTTGCTAATTTACTATGAATATATTGTTGATCTTGTGCGGAAGAACATAGTGTTGTGGAATTAGCATCATGAGAATTAATGCAATACCATGCTTCTTAAAGGCTGCGTAACTTTCCTGTCAAAATAAGTAGTTGATTAAGATGATATAAAACATTATCCTTGCTGTTTTCATTAACCCAAGTTAAAAAGGGTCCAAGCAATTCATCCCATGTAACTGTATAAAGTATCAATAATTCTTCTTAGCAAGCATGGTAAAAGGATAACATCCATTGGACATGTTTAAAATAAATCATCACAAAAAGGCAAGCTTTGCCATGAAGGAATATCAACTGAGCAAATCTCCTCATTGCTTCTATATCAAGAATGGTCTTAATCATTGATGGATTAAGCTCAACACCTTCATGGCAAATATGATAGAACTAAGATTGTAACCGATAAAGTGTTTAGCAACACAAATGTGAAGAAATATCAAGTGTTGAATTAATAATAAGCAAATATTAATTATGGATTATAAAATTGAATAATAGTGGAAATTAATTAAGACTTATATAAATTAAAGAGGGCAAAGTAAAAAAATTTAAAAAAAATGTTATAATATCTATATTTGATATAAAATTATAAGATTAGCAGCTTGATCGGAATGATATGTTAAATATTAAATTGAGGGTTTGTAAACATTAATTATATCACTAGAAAAGGTGATTAAATTATGTTAAAAAAAAAATATGTATAAATTTATTAATAAGAATGTCTAATCTGTAGATGGAGGTGGAGTAAAGATTATAGTGGGGAAATCAAGTCTACTGGATTTACAGTGGGTACTTATATATCTGATTTATAGTAATAATATTGCTTCTTCTAAGCAAATTGTAACAAATGATATTGAAACTTGTTCAATAAGTTGTTATTACAAATTTAATCATCATTTATCTTTTCTAGTGAATGTATTGTCGGCATTGAAATTAATGATATATGTCTCTTAACTTGTTTAGATTAATTATATTATGCAAGGTTTATCATAGAAATGTATTGAATGAAATGAAAAATACAAATAAAATATAATATATGAAAGCGCTGGTATATATACATGTTAACTGATCAAGTTCAACCCCTTATAACTAACTAGAGATAGTAAAGAAGAAAATAAGCTCCCTCGATGATATTGAATATCTTAGGTTTTAGGATTTATACTGCAGACAACATTCCAGTTAGAATAAAATAGGTCTTTCCCAGTCTTAGTTTCTAGAGAATACAAATCATAAAAAACATTATCGCAAGAAATAGAAATAATCACCACAAAAAGAGACATCATGCATAACTTTCTTCTTTATTGCCAAATTAGGCATAAAATCCCTAATTATGAGGAGCTGGAAGGAGAGCAGGCTTTTCTTTGACATTTACAAATTTCTTTCTTTCAATTCCGTTGGCATCTTTTAAAGGCTAAGATGATACAATAGTATAAACGTCCTTGGGTGGTGGAGGGAGAGTTATTTGTTTGTCCGCCTTTATCGTTCGGATTGGTGGGGCCTTCCCCCATACCCTGAAGCTACATGCTTGATCATTGTGTTTGTCTTTAGAGATAAGGTAAATAGCCATTCTCCCTTGTGATTGGTGGAAGATGAACCAACAATAGTAGATGCATGAAAATCTAAAATAATATGCATTGAAATTTGTTGAAAGATTTAATTCAAATTACAATTTATTGTCTTTCCTCTTATACAGATATTATTCTCCTTCCTTATTTATATCATGTGATATCTATACCAAATCTTGCTTAATTAGTCTTGCAATGTAATAGGAAATTATTTAAACTTATTTAATTAATTTCCTTATCTAAGGAGGAGGGACTTCTATATGTAAAGGCAATTTGAATTGAATCAATAAGAAAAAACGAATTTTCTCTTCACTTTATGTTTTTTATGGTATCAAAGCGGGAGAAAAAAAGGAAAAAATCCCGGAGAATCTCGCGTGAAGAAGATCGTCTCTCGGTGACAGAAGCAGCGTGAAGAAGATCGTCTCTCGATGACGGAAGCATTAGCTTTCCATCTTCGAACCAAAGGAGAGGAAGCGCGGGCGACGCCGAAGAAGGCGAGGAAGCGTGAGCGACGCTGCTGACGGAAATAAGAGTCGGGATTCGCAAACGACGCCTTCTGCTTCGCCGCTGCTGCTCTAATTTGCTTGGCTGCCCACAAGCTCGCGATTTGCGAAACATTACCTCTCCACTATTCCGCCACTTGCAAAGCCGCACAATTTTTATTATGTCTAAAAATACAAATGATTCTGCTACTTCTACCCAGCCTTTTACCCTATCATCTGCTTCCGCACCACCCTCCTCTAGAACCACCACCGAAAATCATCCAGCCCAGATCACCACAATCCGTCTCAATGGTGATAATTATCTACGCTGGTCACAATCGGTGAGGATGTACATTCGAGGAAGAGGGAAGATAGACTACCTAACAGGAGAAGTCCGTAAGCGAGCCACTGCAGATTCGCTACAATCCTACGCAACCTGGGATGCAAAAAGTTCGATGATAATGACATGGTTGGTAAACTCCATGGAAGAAGAGATAGGTGCAAACTACATGTGTTACTCTACTGCCAAAGAATTCTGGGAGAATGTGGCCCAAATGTATTCAGATATGGATAACCAATCTCAGGTTTATGAACTTTCCCTAAAACTTGGTGATATTCGTCAAGGTAATGACTCTGTCACAAAATACTTTAATTCTTTAAAGAGAATATGGCAAGACCTTGACATGTCATCAAGAGTGGAAGTGTTCTGATGATGCTAGTAGATATAAGACCATTGTTGATGCAAATAGAATTTTTAAATTTCTTGATGGACTTAATGAGGAGTTTGATGAGGTTAGGGGCAGAATTATTGGAGGAAGTCTCAAGCCTTCAATCCATGAGGCTTTCTCAGAAGTTCGCCGCGAAGAAACTCGAAGAGTAATGTTCAACAAGAAATCCACTCCTACCAGCATACCTGAGACTTCGGCATTTCAATCGGAGGCTCATATCAGCAAGCAGACTGTTCCATATTCACAGAATAATGAGGAGAAACCATGGGTGTGGTGTGATCATTGCAACAAGCCACGACACACTAAAGAAACCTACTGATACCTCCACGGTAAACCTGCAGATTGAAAGCCAAGAAACAAGCGCAAGCCACCTACTGCTAATACTGTTGTCGAACAAACTAGCCCATTTAGCAAAGAACAAATCGATCAACTCCTGAATCTGCTAAACCCCAATTTGGCTACTGGTACTTCAAATTGTTTGATGGTACATGCAATGGAACAGGTAGACAACTAAACCTTTGGATTATTGATTCAGGAGCTTCTGATCACATGACAAATTTACACTATTTATTTCATTCATGCATCTCATATTTTGGCCATGAAAAGGTTCGCATTGTTGACGGTAGTTTCTCTTCCATTATTGGAAAAGGAAACATTAACCTGTCCAAAAGTATAGATCTTAAATCTGTACTCCATGTTTTAAAACTCAAATGTAATATTCTATCCGTCAGCAAACTTTCAAAAGATTATAACTGCCATATAATTTTCTGTGAATCTTCTTGTGTTTTTCAGGACCAGAAGTCGGGGATGATGATTGGGAGAGCTAAAAAGATATGAGGACTTTACTACTTTGAGGAGACTGTTCCTAGGAAAAAAGAGGTTGAAGCCTACAGCAGTGTGAGGTCGAACCCTGCATTAGAGAAAATAATGGAATCTCATCTTAGACTAGGTCATCCAAGTTTTTCTAATTTAAAATATTTATTTCCTAATTTGTTTAAAGGTGTTAATTATGTTTTATTTCAATACGAAACATGTTATTTGGCAAAAAGTCATCGCATAAATTTTGCTCCAAAACCATACTATCCTTCAAAACCTTTTTACATAATCCATAGTGATGTTTGGGGACCTTCAAAAGTCAAAACATTATCGGTAAAAAGGGGATTTGTGACTTTTATTGACGATCACACCAGAATAGGTTGGGTTTATCTTATAAGCAATAAATCATAAGCTGAAAAACTTTTTAAAGATTTTTACAACATG